AACAAACAGCAGTCGCCCTGGTCATGCTGACCAGTCAGTTACATAAAACTGTACATGTATTGGCGCCTCTCCAACTGTCCCCTCTCCTCCCAGGGCTCTTATCAGCACCTCCCCCCCCCCCAACCTCCCAAACTCCAAAACACACAGATACACACACACACCTTAACCAAACCCAATTATTAAATTTGTTTCTTATGCTACTTCTTTTTGTCAAAAAGGCGAATTGTTCTTGTTTCGTTCTGTTTTGTTTTTGCTAAAGGGGGTGGCTGTTAGGGTTGGTGGTCGGTTTTGGGGTTGTTTGGGTTTTTTAAATGTTTATTTTTTTTTGGGGTGGGGGGGGGGCTGCTTTTTTCTAAGCATGTGTTTTCACACAGTTTAAATCCTTTAGGAGGCGGGCTTCGAACATGCCTGTCAGTGTCAGGGCCAACCTGGGCTGAGAGGGATACAACGCTCCAGCAGAAAGACTGCGATACAGGATGCAATAAAGGCTCCCCACACGAGAATCGAACTTGACCCTTCTGCCTACGACGGCCAAGCGCCTAACCGCTACACCATAGACGCCAGTCGCACTGTCTGAGTTTGTAAAAGAAAAGAGAAGCACTTCGTCAATACAACAGCGAGGTGCCGGGGGAAAGAGCGACAGGCAAATTGAAACGACAAAAATCAAAGATCAGTAGAAGCGTAGAACCTAGCCTACCAGTGGCGCGCTCCAGCCACCCTTTTGCAATAGAGCGTAAATGTGTACCGATAGACGGTGTCTCAACCTTCGGCGGACAACTTCAAGTGATATTGAACGGTACAGCCGATAAGAATCGAAACAAGAGAACCGCTGAGTGTTTGAAGATTTTTTCCAACACGTCAAAAAAAAAAGAAAGAAAAAAAAAGCAATTTCTTGGAAAACAACAACTCAGGGCACGATTTCTTTAAAACATTCTCCCCAACGATAGTTATTACTTTGAAAGGTAAACAAAGTAGGCCTACTCATTGTTGTCAAGAGCCACAGCATAGAAGAGCAGTTCAATTTGTTCTGACATAACTAATCGATACAAGACGTGTATTTCAGCAGATCGAGGTTCCCTACGAACCGAGGACAGTTTCCACTGACAGACAAAGAGAGGGGAGGGGGGGTTCTTGACAAACTTATCTTGTTCATGTGAACTGTGAACCCTTAGATGGGGCTGAGAGTTTTACAGCCAACCCCTTATCTTAGGATAGGTAGGTAAATCTAAGATATATATATATAACTTTCCCAGATAATGTCGAAAAATCTTGGATGTCCCGCGTGTAAGTTGCGACGTTAAAGATCCTTTGGTGGTCCAAATTCGATAAGAGTAGGCTTCGGCCACCACTTGAGCAAAATTCAAGATTAATTCCTACCAAACTGAAAATATTTCATTGTTCCGGGCGCTCATATGACATAATTGTATGTATATATATATATATATATATATATATATATATATATATATATATATATATATATATATATATATAATATATATAAGTGCATTTGCGAGCGCCATAAAACACTTACAAAAACAAAAACCATAGGTAAAACTTTTTTTTTGCAAGGAGGTTGTTTTTGAGGGTTTTAATTTAATTTTTTTTTTTTTTTTTTTTTTTTTTGGGGGGGGGAAGGGGTTTAAAGACTACCACGATAACGGCAGTCATATTGAAAATAAACAGCGTTCATAAAACTAAATAGGATTTTTTAGCTTTCAACCAAATTCATTCAGACTTGGTATATGGGTAGATCTACCCAAAACATATTTGCATACACTTCTAGGCTCTTGGATGTCTTGAAGGTGAATAAAAATTTAACAGCAAATGACTTACCCCTGCCCTTCACACCTCCAAAATTTCAATGTGATTATATATTATCATCTATAATTCAATCATGAATGCATCTGATCTATTCAACTGTCCTATTGTTCAAAGTTAGGTTATGATGTAGACAACAAATCCTAAAAATATCATTGGAATCAAATAGAAACTTAAAAAGTAGAAATAAAAAAATAATTAACAATGAAAGTAATTTAAAAAATGATATTTGTGACAAAATAAATCATGTTTTCTCAAAAGTATGCACTTTCTGCCCTACCCATTTTTGGTAAAAATATGTGTTCTCCAAATTTCCACAAGACAGTTTTAGGCTCAAATGAGAATAGCCCAGAATATCCTAATTTGACCCAAAATCATCGATTTTTTAAAAAAGATGCCCCCCCCCCCCCCCTACACACACACACACACCTTTAAAAAGAGGAACACCACCGGCATATGCACCCACACACACACACACACACACAAATTGAATGAGAGAGAAAATGGGTGGGAAAGAGAGAGAGAGAGAGAAGGCGACAGTGTGCACATTCAACATTCAACTTCAATTCAGCTGTCTGTTGTCTGTCTGTCTGTATGTCTTTCTCTCTCATGCACATAATAATATTTTAATGTTGGCAGAACTTGGCAAAACCAGCTACCATGAAAGTATGGCAAAATATTTTACTCAATTCTGGTTAAATGTTACAGTCAAGTTAATTTCAGGCAACATTAACAAAATAACAATGCCAATTGCATGCAGTATGCTTTTGTTTTAACTTTTAAAAATGTGGGTTTTTCAAAATAATCTTTCACTGGAGTGGCCAGGCAAAAAAGTACAATTGGTGCCGACAATGATTAGGAAACAGCATAACATTACTCACAAGGATAAAATTATCTTCCATACGAAAACCCATGGACTCATTATCTTTACAGACTTATATAATAATAATAATATCTCTACACCCCATAGCTCACGTAAATATACCTCATACATTTTAATAACTTGTCCTGAGAAGAAAGAATGTACTGTGTCCTTATAAATATGATCCAAAATAAGTAAGAACAGAGGGGGGGGGGGGGGGGGACCAATGGTTCAAATCAAATTATATTTATACTAATGGATTAAATCTGGCAAAACTTGTAAAAAGGCTGGGCTGTACTCACACGTCAAAGACCCTGCACGCAATACTATTCACTTTCTTGTCAGATCTGTAGCGCCGGAAGTCCTCAAAGGCATCTTTCAGAGCCGTGACTAGCAAGACGAACAGCACAGGCAGTGCCGCAACTTCTTTGGCAAACGCCTGCACTTGTGGAATCCAGTTCAAGGCCACCACAAATATGAAATATATGTTCGCGAAGCGGTGAAACTGTTCAAAAAGATTTTTGGGTAAGAACGTCAGTAAAGTGTAACGAGTAGTTTTGATGAAGTTGTTGCTGTACCCATGGTTCGGATGTGATTTCTTCTTTATAGAGATATTCTCATCCACAGTGTGATTTGGGACAATTGGCCTGACTTGAGGCTTCACTCCCCTTCCAGGTAGGCAGCTATTTAGAAAATTTCCCATCCTGGACGAACTCCTCTCCGGTTAGATGTCTGGAAGTTGCCAGTTGTTTTGTTGGAGGTGTCAGTATTATGGTACCATTATCACAATAATGTGACATTCACAAGTCCTGAAAGAGAAGACAAAATATCTCTAGTCAGTACTAAACAGGGAGGAAAAATGTGGATCATTACATTGCAATTGCTATTCTGTGCCATTCATTTTTTTTGTGTGTATGACATTACCACAGCACATTCAGCAGAAGAAAAAAATCTGTTGTGTTGGAAAACAATATTAATTGTGGGGTTAAAGTCAGGGACAGCATGAAAGATTTGACAGGGGGAAGTATCAAGGTGACTGAAACTTAGACAAAGATCACTCTAAGATTAGAAAAAAAAAAAAACCTTAACCAGCAGTGCCATTTTCTCTGTCTAAACGAACAATATACCCTTCTCACTGATGAACCCAGGTGCTGTATTTTTTTGAGTACTGGCAACACTGTTTTCTCAAACACCCATATGGATGTCTTAAATGGCCCTGAGCACCAGAAGAAAACAAAAATATCCATCATCACGGGGAGTGCATCAGGATAAATGAGCCCACCAGGCTCACCAGTAGTGTACAGTGTGTTACATTCACTGCTGGTACCAAAACGCATAATTATACATTATAATTCGTTAATTTGTAGTGAACTTCCTAGAATCTCGCATGTGAGGGTGAGTATTGGGTTGTGGGGCGTGACAAAAAACATTGGGCCATGGTGTGTGTACTATTTAGTGCTTCATTATTTTGTGTTTGCGGGCATGTGTACACATGCCTTTGTGTGGTTGTTTGAACGTGAAGGTATGGATCGGGAAGTCATTACAAAAGAGGGTTGGGTGGCATGTCCTAACCAGTGTTGATTACATCGTCATGATCATAATCTGAAGTAAGATCTTTTTTTTTTAAGTGATAAGACTAATTAGCATCAAGCTCTTCTTTTTTCTTGCTTTGACACTGAACACGACCCACATACTATCCATTCTTCTAACAATAAAATACTGTTCATGATAGCAGAGAAGAGGAAACTTAATTGTCTGACAATATAACATCACATAGTTCCCTTGATTTTCTTCGATATCTGTAATTTTTCTTCAGCAGTAATCGTTTGAATAACAGTCAAACCTGTGTAAAACGGCCACCCATTGTCAAGGAGAAAAAGTGTCCGTATAACACAGGTGGCCATCTTAGGCAGGACAGATCAAAATGATGAAAGCAAACCATTTTCTTCTGAGGTTTTTATTCTCTTTTGAAAAAGGGTGGTGGGTGGTGTAAGAAAGTATTTCTTTAAATTGTCGTTTTGCTTTTCGGTTAGCTTTTTTTTTGTAGCCGACTTTGTGCAAGGGTAAAATAAACAGAAAACTATGTAAGACGATGAAGACCGAGCGTCATGGTAAAACAAACAAATGGGTCGTTACCACTTGGAGAGCGAGCAACGCTTCTGTCGCAAGTTCACGTCAACGTCCATTGTTATTTTGTTACAGATTAGGTAAAAAAAACAGTGACCAGTTGCTCAAATACGATTTGTGCATGAGTTGTAGGTGGGGCTTATAAGTTATGACAGATCACACACTTCCCTCACCAGCAGTTAAAAAATTATTGTTACCCATTGGTCAACTTGGGCAAACATTCATATATATGAGGGACTAACAATAACGACAGGTGAATGGATTATGACGGCCCATCCACAGCGTTAGGAGCTGATTCAAAATTTATGACAAAGCCTCAGGCAATGAGAGACCACTCCTGGCCATCTGAGCCAAGTAAATTTGACCATGGGTTGATAAAATTAGGTGGCTGCGGCCGCGTTGGACAGGAGACCGTTTATACTGTTAAATTGTATAGAAAAAACACAAGAGGGGAATGGAAAGTGGCCATTTGTACAGGTGACCGTATTATACAGGTGGCCGTCATGACATGTTCAACTGCATAGATGTATCAAATACGGTTGTCAACCCCTGAAGTGTTAAAGATATCCTTGGAAAACTACCCAGAGTAGGCTACTCCATCTTCACATTGTGTGACTATGTTTTTCAGTTATTACAGTAGTCTCCATGTAAGAACCCTCTCATCCGGAGACGAAAAAAGTGGGTCTTGTGCAAGTTTCAAGGAGCACCACTTACTCCTATTAATTAACATCCTGGTAATCACTATCTCACTCACAACCAGCCATTTTCGGGGTCGTTATTCCCTGTGTACCACCGTTTTAAGGGTAGTTTTTAAAAATCACTGTGCTTTTCATAATCAACATAGAGACTAGAAATTTGGAACATTGTTTTTGAACATAGTAAAAATTGCCCTGATGAAATTACAGCTTTGTTTTATTGTAACTTTTTTTCACAAGTTTTCAAAAATTGGTCAAAAACTGCTTTCCCTTTGCCTTTCTTACTCACGCCCTTCCCCCACTACTGCAACCCTAAATCTAGGTTTTGGAGGCCCTACTAAACCTTACTCTTCTTTGCAAAATTCCCCACCCAGTTCGTCATAACAATCTTCGACCAATTCATCAGTTTCTTAGCAGTGGCGGTGGGTAGTGAAGGGCTTACGGGCTTGAGCCCCTACCCCCTCCCCACCCACCACCCCCAACTCTATCCCAAAGTAAATGAAAGTTTCTCCATAATGAAATAAGCAGTTGAAACCGTTATGGCCGCACGCAATGAACACAGAGTGATCAACTTGGCGCCTTGCTCGCTTATCCAATCATTGTTGTCACCGCTTACAACTATAGTAACCCAGCAGCCAATCAAATGTCTTTAGGGCTCAGCAGAGATGAGCCCTTTTCCCACAGCCCGTCCTTAATAAAACTCTTCTTGTAAAAAGGTAGAAGACTGGGAAAAAAATAACACTGTACCGAGGGCTCACGCTCTCCTAGCCCTGACTATGGGGTGAAAGTTTACGACACACTTTTCCCCACTGACACAGATACCTATGCGCTCATTGGTTCTTTGTTGACTTTCTCGACTAAGCGGCCTAATCCAGCTCATAAAAGTATTATGTTTGAAGTGCTGTGTGCGGAGATTTAACAGTTATAAATCAGGTCGAACTACTTGTAAGGCAACTTTTTCATCACACGAAAACTAATTAATTAGAGGAAATTTGGAGGTGATTCGGCTTCGTCCCTGCCATCAACAAGAATTTAACTGAGAACAAAGAGATGGAAAACAAATGCAATTCTTCTCGTTTGAATGCTTCTCAAACTTCCGTGGCTCACCGTAACTATAGAAAAATCCTTGCTGTTTAATTCTTATTGCTTGCTATTTGGTGGTAAAGAACTGGAAGCAACCTAAGCCCCACCCAAATTTGGGTCCACCCACCGCCACTGTTTCTTAGTCACTTTTGACGGCAAAGGTTCAAAAACGGTCAAAGACAAGCAGTCTGCGATTGTGGGAAATGTAATGGTAGTTCAGTTCTAAGGGCGGTTGTTGTAAAAGTCAATAACTCAACTTGCCCTCGTCCGATTTCGGTTTCGTTTCTTTCTAACGAGAAAGACGAATCAGTACCACAAACCGTGCGGTTTTAATGTGAGAAAAAATTTCCAAAAAGTGAAACCGCGAGGGTTGTGGGTGTGGTATCACAGCGTCGGAGCCACTTTATCCGGAACAGTTGCGGGAGTGGTAGTGAGAGAGTTATTCTTAGTTGACATCATGGGCCTCTTGTCTTGTTTTTGTGGGACCATGGAAGTGGAAAAGACAGTCCTATCAAAAACCACTTAATAGTGTTTAGGTGTACATATGTGCAACTTGCGACATCTAGTCAACAACACCACCATCCCCTTTCCTTTACCCGCTATAAAAAATATCAATCACTTTGCATAATTAACGGTAATTACAACACCATATTATATCACTTCTTCAAATCATATCCATCAAAGAGCTGATGCTCTTGAAAGTGGGCACAGCAGAGTGAAACAAAAGGTAGAAGGAGGGTGTGTGTAAAAAGTTCTCCATGCTGCCTTGTCCACTCCTTTCCTCCCCCTAAACATTTCCCACATCATCTTATTGAACTTTTAACAACAATGTACAGTGTATTTCTCAACCTAAGAGAGGGCCTCTATGTATTTCCAATATTACTTTTACATAGAAAAGAGTTCAAAGATCCCGGACACTAACAAAAAGGAAGGACCTCCGTAACGAGCGAGCACCCCAACAAATACAATAAAGAAGAGACCTTACCTTAAACAACAAACCCTAACCCTTCCCCTCTACTCTACTCTGTCTCATAGTGGTCGCTCGTTACAGAGGTCCTCCTAACAAAAACTCTACCCAAGTTCAAATTTGAAGACAGTAAAAGTCCTGTGGTCAATCACAAAATTAACAAAGTATGATAAGATAGCTAAGGCACGCTACTACTCTGGAACCCCCTTTAATTTTTACCTAGATCTACAAATCTATTCAAAGTAGAATACAACTAACTATGATGTAGCCTAGGGAAGATTGAAGAATACCGGACCATTCGTATTATTGCACGAGAAGGGGGGGGGGGAGGGGGAGGCCCAGGGGGGGTCTCCATCCTGACAAACTTTAAATGAATAGATCTACGAGTCCGAGATTCTTCATTGAGAGATAGTAAAAGCTGATGGGGAACATGAATTCTTAAAGTTGAGACATATATGCAAAAGTAGTCCTATCCACTGGTCCGGTATTCTCTAATCTTACCGTAGCCTATTTAAGACACACGTCCTACTTCAGGTCATGAATATGTTAATTAATGTTAATTCAAGTAAATCCATAAAATATTGGCTATTCCCCGGCGTTCTATTACTAATAAATTATTTGTCGCCGCAGATTTGCAAATACCTCTCTCATTTGTTTGTCTTGAAAAAAAATTCCCATAACGTCACAACTTCGTGCCACTTCCATTGATACAGACGATACTCCGATAGTGAAAGGTTTTCAGACACAAACTGCCTCAATTCCTCCAATTTAGAATAATGATAGGTGCTAGAAAAAACGTGTCCACCACTAAAGACGCGAGTTCATTTAATAACAAAGAGTGAGCATAGAAGAAGTCACTTTTCACTGTTTACAAAAAGGGAGAGATATATACACGACAAGAGCACTGAAGTCGCGAAATATCAGTTAAACTTATCGAAAATTACCGAGAAATAAGTTAAACATCAAGCTATACTAGATCTAGATCTAGATTATCTAGATCTAGATCTATATGACAAGACAGGATTTTAGACATAAAATGAATTTTGTTCGTTTAAAGAAACAGAATCATTATTTTAAAATATTTTTATAAGCAAATGGATGACCAAAATAAAAATGAATAAATTTACGCTAAACAATTACCATAGAGATAAAATATAATGACGGGTAGTGACGCCGGAGAATAGCTTCCGATCTATTGACCGGCCGCGACGCCGGAGAATAGCCACTTGTATAAAATATTGTGTCCCAGTCTAAGTCTTTAAGTAACGAAGTGATTATTCGGACTCGAGTCCGAATATGAAAAAATGTTATTCGGACTCTGATTCTTGTCCAGCATGACATCACTTCCAACTTCCTGTGACTCGTGACTCCGGCTTCCTGTCCTGCCTCACTCGTGACTCGCCTCAGGCTGGGTAGAGACCGGGATCACTTCGGGCAAAAAGGCGTTTTGTGCAGGAGCCGAGTTTTAATCTTACGATGAATTTGAGGCCGACCTGAAAAGTTATAGCGCTTCTAATAAATGTTTATTTGTCAAGAGGTCATCAGAAGCAATTAAAGCGTGTGTCGGGGTGGTCTGCTAATCTTCAATTTCACCTTTTTCTACAACAAAGAAAGTGGGAAACAATGAGGCGGCGGGCATCGGATCGGCAGAAAAGGTGTGTGTGTGTGGGGGGGGGGGGGAGGGGGGACTAAAAATGGCGGAAAATTGGAAGCTTTTTTTATTCGGACTCGAGTCCGAATATGAAAAAATGTTATTCGGACTCGAGTCCGAATAACGACGGCCTTAAAAGTAAAGTTGATTCTGACTGAGGGCCGAGGGTGAGGCTGAGCCTAATCTAAATTCAAAGCAATATAATCATTGATAAACGTGCTGATTCTGAAACAGAATGTTAACACAAGTAAAAGATCTGGTTATGGAACCTGGGTTTGATTAAATCTTTCGTACCACTAAGAAGAGTAGACTAAGACGCCTGAGTAAGTGGGTCTCTAATCATTAAAGACAGAGTCTACCACTGAACTGAGACAATGACAATGAGAGACTTGGTCGCATTCTCACCTTTGTGACACTCTGAAATGCTTACATTTCGTAAGTAGACAAAAAAAATTGTCAGAAGAAGATCCAGTGTTCCTATATTAATAATACGTTAAATTATATACACAAGACAAACTTGATAAGCAAAAAAATTGCTTCAGTATCAGGTATTTCGAAAGCGATCTTCCATTGGCAACGAAGCTTGTGTGTTGTTACTGCTGCCATAACTGTTCCGGTGTGTGACGCCTGTGTTCATTGGATACTGGGTTCAACAATGCCCAATGAACAGTTGTGTACAATACTATGTCAGGTGCCCCATCCCATCATGGCGGACGAAAAGTGGGAGTCGGCCTTCCCTGTGCTCTGCAAAACTTCTTCTGCTGATATTGGAAATGTAAGTGAGCCTGGAAACTATTGGACTAGTAAATGAAGTTCCTGTCAGGGATGCTTTCTGTTTCACGTTTTATTACCTCCCTGCATTTAGTGTTTGTTTCTTTTCTTTAAAATGAGTCGAATGTCTCATTGTCGATAGCCTAGTCGCCTAGTTGAAAATACTAAAATCTCAGGTTACTTCGAACTCATGACCAAGACAGCAGGGCCCAGCAGGGAGGACTTCTGTAACGAGCGACCTCCGCGACAAACAAAATAAAGAATGGACCTAACCCTATCCCTAACCCTACCCCTAACCCTATCCCTAACCTTAGCCCAAGGAAGTGGCTATCCTCACCCGGGGTGAGAATAAAAATACGGTCGACCTCTCACCCCGGGTGAGATTTGCCAGCGTTGGTTATTCTCACCCAGTGTGAAACAAAACCTGTTTTTCCTAATTTCGGAATACTCTCTAACAGTGTGGATGATCAAATTGACAAAAGCAAAGAAAAAATGACGTTATAGATCTATCACAAAAGTAAGCTAATTTGATCGTCTACAAAGATTATGGCTATGGCTATTTCACTTTTCGAATCGATCGAGCCGAACTTCGGGGGTCGCCATTTTATTTTTGCCCGGAAGTTCTCGCAAGATCTACTCCTCCCCTCTCTCTCTCTCTCTGTCTCTTTCTGAATACTGTCTATCGGTGTGGACGATCAAATTGACCAAAACAAAGTTTAAAAATTATGTTAAAACACAAAAAAGTAAATTAAATTGGTCGTCTACAAAGATGCTATGGCTATTTAACTTTTCGAATCGAGCCGAACTACGCGGGTTGCCATTTTGTTTTGCCCGGAAGTTCTCGCGCTCCTCTCTCTCTCTCTCTCTCTCTCTCTCTCTCTCTCTCTCTCTCTCTCTCTCTCTCTCTCTCTCTCTTTAGCTCTCTCTCTCTCTGACCTCTCTCTCTCTCTCTCTCTCTCTCTCTCTCTCTCTCAAATTTCTCTTTCTCTCTCTCTCTCTTTCTCTCTCTCTCTCTCTACTGCCCACAGACAAAATTGCACGCTTTTAGGCTAACAGTAGTAACACAAGAGCGCTGGAAGAACGTTTGTTCACGGCTCAGAATTCTACAATTTAAATCTCAGTGTAGAATTATGTGGTTAAGAGTGAACGCGACACTGGTTGGCCTAGGCTATAACGGTGAACACACACCGGGTGAAAATAACCAAAAAGGTCGCCTGCGTTATTCTCACCCAGGGTGAGAATAGAGGTGGCCTGAGCCCTAACCCAAACCCATACCTTCCTAACCCTAGCCTTAGTCCTAACCATACTATGTACAGTTAAAACTGTTCGTGTTAGCTTACCCTAACCCTCTAAGGAACATGCAACTAATTGTAGAACGACGCAAACTGTTTTAGGTAAGGCGGCCATCTTGTGTGACGTCAGACTGGGATACCCCTCCGATCACATGACTACATGGTCTAAACATAGTAGCGCTCCAACCGCTTGGCACAAAAGATCGTGTGTATACCTACCTTGGCACAACGTTTGGTATGATGTTTTTCCAGGAGACGTACCGGTCATGTGATATGATGCGGTGCTTTGATGATGCTGCTCCTTATCTCTTCTGCGCACTGTTTATCGGGCCCGAGGGGGGTAATCTCTGGGCATCTTTACGGCAATTTTCACGCGCTTTATTGTCTTTGCGTTTACCGTGTTTAAATTTCAAGTATCAGCGTTCTTACTGTTCTGAGCATCAACGATCTAAACGATCTTCCATCACCAGAGCATGGCTGACGTGCTGCAGTTACCCGCTAGTGTGAAATTTTACGTGCGAAACACATCAATACGGATAATAGGTCAAGCAACTGACCCAACATGTCGTTCCATGCCATTCTCCAAAGATTGTGTAGTGTGTAGTGTAGTAGAGAATCTTTGGTATCCCCACGGTCTTCTAAAAATAGTCTGTGGGTATCCCAGGATGTGATGACATCACATTACTAAAATAAGCCACCAATCAAGCAGGTGGGTCGTTTTACGTTTAGCCGCATGTTCTAAAGGCGTACTCTTCTATTTCATCGTTGTTGGTCATTAAGAAATTCCTCTCGTCTATAGATATAGAGTTTATTTTATTTTTAGGTTTAGGCTAGATTCCACCTGATTGATTAGTAGGTAGGCTGCTATAGCATAGCTTGTTCACTCTCATCTGACCACGTTGAAAAAAATTCTAGCTCATATATTATTATAATGAAGTCTCGGAGACTGTAGTTTGGAGGCTACATTCACGGCGCCCTGAATCATCCACCATTGGCACAGAGGCATGACTGAAACGCTACCGTCGCTCAAAGTGAATGACGAAACAGCACAGGAATACTCGCGTGAAAAATAATGCAGTGGTGGTCTGAATGCAGCAGAGTGTACGGAGGGCGAAGGCAGGCACAATAAAACGGCCGCAGTCGACAAGGTCTCGCTCACTCAGCATGTGGAACACAACTTCAGTCCTCTTTCAGTGTGCGGACCCAGCAACGCTCGACAATTGGAAAATAAAAGCTGTTAGGAGAAACAAGGGAGAATGGAAGAAGGCCAAGGCGGGAAGAGGGGTGGGAGGGGGTGGAAAAAAGAAGTCCTAAAAAGGAAAAAGGGTAGGCGGTGAGGTCAGCAAGATCATTCTTAAATTGCAAACTACATTCCGGGCACCTTGAACTTGAATGTAGTCACTGCGTAATTAATTTACCTAGCCCCATGAAACTTTGCATGGCGCTTCTGCAGTCCAGCAACCACACAAAAATATTTTTTCAAAAAGTCTTGATCCAGTTGTTAAAAAGTTTTTCTCTTTGGTTCCTATTAAAAGCCACTCTTTGGATGCACGATACACAGGATCGCTAAGATAAATGACTTACTGTAGCCTTGCCTACAGATTGTTCATTTGGAGACAGCTACACCACCCTGCCCCTTCATTTCAGTGAAAGCTTTAGATTTCATCCCTCGGCTGTCTTGACTTGATGTCTCCACGTGCTCCACGTGAGTCTTGAAAATTACTCACAACCGGACTCTTTAATTGTATTTCTTATAAAGGAGGCGTGTGTATGTTACAGTGTGGTGTTACGGAAAATGTATGTCAACTTTTTTAATGTTTTAGGTGTAGGCTGTAAATCTCCTATTATTTTTTGGACCTGCTTTAGGCTTCATCAAAGAAAGCAAGTCGGCTCCTCAGCTTGCAGTGACCTTTATGAATGGGCTTTTAGATTCTGTTGGTCATCCAACTTTAAGACCCGTGTATGCAAAGATCTGAGAACATTAGACAGAGCGATTTCGTTTTATCCTCTTTTAACGGCGATCAGACGAAAGTGAACAAGCTATAATACTACTAATGCTATGTTCAGTTGAACCTGTCGAACATGGAATTGCAAGGGAGCCTGAAAAAGAAAATCAATTTATCACATTTTCCATCATGGACAGAGGAATCTCTGGGAAGAAAGGTACAAAAAAGGGCCAGTTGTATTCAATGGGATCAAAATCAAGGGACGAAGCCAAATGGCCCAAAAGATTTCCTGTCTTATTCAAGCGCTTGGCAAGCAGTGATTGAAACTAAAATTTTCCGCTTCTCAAGTGCTGTCCCAGGTGCTCTGATAATTGCATGCATTAATTTTATTACTAATCCATTGCTACAGTCACCAGTGCTTGCATCTCATTTGGACCACTGTTTAATGGATTAAAAAAAGAAACTGTTGATTGTCTCCTGTGTTTCCACCTTTACTCATAGCTCCACCCATCTATGTAGTAAGCACAATCAACCAATGCCATCCCTCCCTATGCATGTCAAATAAAATCTGCTTAAATTAAACACAGTAAATCAGAAAACAGCAGTAGTAAAATGAAAGAAAAGAAAATCGCTAATCTTTTTTCTTGCATCATGTTTGTCTTTCAGAGAACACTTTTGATCCGCCAAAATGCCCCCTTTTATAAAGCGAAAAGAATTTTGAAGGTCAGGACATCCGATTCAAATTCTTTATACTTTGTTAGCAACCATTATATCATTCAGCCCTACCACCGATAATATTGGTATGCATACGTAATGCTCCTACCGTAACGCCGACAGTATGGGTATGGAAAATTCCATTCTCTTGACCGAAAATAGTACTTTTGTGTGAAGCAGATTATAGCCTAATTGGAAGAGTAACCATTTTTCTTTTGAAACAGACTATGACCAGAAGTGCAAGCACAAATTTAGAGCAAAGAAAGCTATAGGCCTATATTCGTGAAACTTGTGAGGGGGTGCGAAATTTGAACGCACTGCCTTTCTTCGCTTTTTGTTTAAAAATTGACTCTAGACTTTTTTGCACTGAGTATTGCACAAAAACTGTGACATATTTTGCATTCAAATTTTCAATATATGCACAAATAAAGGTTTGAATAAAATTTGTGCCTAATTTGGGTAGGATATTGTTAAAAATTTAGTATGGGGGAGTTTTTTCAATTTTTCAAAAAGTGGTGAAAATCTCTAGGGAGAGCTGACAATCCGGAAGGGTTGAGTGAGTTAAGAAACGCAAAGAATCAAGTATTACATACTTCAACTTCAAGATAGCAAAACAGATGGAAAGAGACATGAGAATGTATGTGTGTCTGTTGCGGGCTAGAGAGGAGGCATTGCCAATGTAGTTAAAATCCCTCTGAAACTAGTACTTTAGTTGCTGACCAAGCCCAGGTTGGACCTCACGTATGGAGGTAACATTTCACCATCAGTCAGGCACTCCCGCACTCAGCCATCATGACAACAGTGATGCCCACTGTCATGCCTGCGTAAAACTCATTTCTGGTAATTTTTGTATCAATTTCCATTGTAGTTCCTCCCTCACCTGATAATCCTAGAAATCTATCCAACATATTTTAACGATCATCCTCAGATCAACAAGACGACCCCACTTTTGCTTCTGAAATCCCACCAGTATTATAGCATATGCACTTTATATGAGTGTTTTTATCTGGAAATTGAAATTTCAATTATAAACTTTCATTTTAGAGTCTCGTTTTCTCGAAAATCAAGCCCACGATTTTCACGAAAATGTCTTGCCTCTCTTGAGACAGCAAGTACTGTTTGTCCATAATCAATGTTTGATTTTGTGTGATTCTTTAAAAACACAACCCCATGTGAATCGCTGGGACATGACATTTCATTTCTCTTTCAAAGTAAAGAATTACGATATTTTTCATGCTTTTCTGTCATTTAAACCAAAGAAAACATTAGTCCGATAAAAAAAATGGAGAAACATACAAACAATTGTCATTTTCAAAAGCTGCATGAACTTTTTACGGAATTTGTGGTGGCAGAACACGCTCAGGCAAGCAAAGGGTACAGAATAGGCAGCTTTGCAGTGTTCTAAATTTGCCTCAGACATTCTCTTATAATCCATTGGTGTAAATACAAAGGACTCACAAACAGTGCATTCAATTGCCATCTGAACTGATCACATGAACAAGATCAGAGAAAACATTATTAAAAGCACATATGTGGCATTAACTGTCCTAGGGAAGAAGAGAGGGGTAATTTTCAAAGGCAACTGACAGAGAAAGAAAACAGATCATCTGAGCCAGTGCGTAAAGACAGACTCCTACACGCTGACACATGCATCAGAAACTTATATTCCATTATATAGGAGATATTTTGATAAAGTACTTCCAAAAGTCCACATTCTAGAAAACCACCACATCATGTGAATACAAAGACTCACGTGGTTAGTTTGGCTCTACATGGTAAACAAGGTGGTGAACTCTTCCATGCTTCTGTCGCCAAACTGGGGAGAAGAGGAGCTGGAATACATAATAAAGTAGCTGAAAGTTGTGATGCTGTCAAGCATGCCTCCAACAAAGAAAAAGCGTTGATATTTATGAACACAAAGTCAAAAGTCAACCTTTGATTACTCCAAAACTGTTGACAAAAATAACTAAGTGAGTGTTTTAAATTGAAACTTGACCATTTCTAGTTATATTTACATTTTTAGAATTGTTTAGTTTGATACATTTTAATTTGAAAATGTGCACCCCAAGGATTTATTTAGAATGTGAGCCATTTTTTAAATGTTACATTTATTTATCGGCATTTCATACAATTTTACATATTTCTCAGTGGGTACAAAAGTTTTTTCTTGTTCCAAATGGACATAATAAAATGACCAGGTCATGGTAAAGCGTCCCATGGACAGGCACCAAAGTATGTAGGTCTATATTATCAAGTAGGGAATCCGTTGCCGCACGCACTTGAGGACAAATTTCACAGATTGTTCTGTCTTAGTTGTTTTCTCTCTGTCATTGCGCCATGAAAAGTTTGGAGTGAAATAAATGTGAATGGACAAGATAACACCAGATACCGATTTCTGGCCAGACTCCTACTATATGAGATCTAAGTGAGCTAAAGAAGAAAAGTGTAGGCCTACAGTAGATGGTACTGTGCGAAAACGCATTCAGTAAGGATGATAAATTACTTTTGATACTGGTACTTTTGTGAATGGAATACATACATATCAAGTCATATGAGGCTACTATGCTGCTATGCCACGCATGTGATGTAAATAATCTAGGATCGGAAAATATGTGAGGCATGATGCTGAAATCTGGTGCTGGTCAAAGTTATTTATAAAATCAAAGGAACTGGCATTTATCTGGCGAGTTGACAATTTTTATTCAATGTTTGTTTTTTAGCTCAGCACCTTTTATATTCATTTAAAAACACATTTATGTGTGTATTTTATTGAGATATGCGTTGATTAAAGGCACAGAAAATGTAAATTTTCAGTTTCCAAGAACTCTCAAGCTATACATGTAGAAGTCTCCAAACTTTGGCAGCCATTTTCTCACTAATTGGGATGGAAATCAGGCAACCCTAACCTCCTTCAATAGCAAACATCTCAACTTCTATTCAAGATAAATGGGTATTTTTTTTCATCGAAAGCAAGACAAATGAACAAGCTTTAAGATGATATCAATGACTCCACATGCCCGAAAAGTTGACGAGCACCTAATTCCACTGGGTCGAGATATGTATGGCTTGGCAAACTGCAATTTTTTACAGATGCATGTCAATTCTAACAATAGAAACTATCAAATGTGCTGCTGTTATGGCAATAATATTATTATGTAGGCCAAGAGTATGGGAATCATGAAGGGAATGTGATACACTCGGTGGCTACTGATTAATTCTGACTTGAAACAATGTTGACAAGGAAAACTAAAAATATCACGGTATTCTCACGACGAAAGTCGATGAGTGCATTTAACTTTTTTAGATGTCACATTCACCAGCTTTATGTTATCTTAATTTTGACAAGCACTCCGAAAGCAAGGAAAAAGATAATATTGTAATTTAGCTTTGTTCTGATGTAAGTTTTTCTGGAGTGGAGACCACTGAATTTGTCATTGATTTTGAAGAGAAAAAAGACTGCATTTTGCAACTTTATTGTCACTCAAAAGTGTTTACCCCCACAGTAGTTACTGACATAATCTTCTTCATCTCCATCGTCAAGTATAGTCTCATACAACTCTTGTTTGGGAGTCCCATTCGTACTTTTAGTGTTTTAGTATGCTGCATCCTGCTCACGCATTCTTTTTTAGCCGACATATCACAACCTCGGTGCTTTCCTGTCATATCTTCATTTTTTTTAGCATTGAAAATGTGACTTCTTTTTAAGCGTACTCTTTGTTATGAACTGTTTTCACTGTTTAAAAAAATGGAGATATAACAAGAAAGCACTAAGGTCGCGATATGAAGCCCCACGCATTGACCTCCCATCATGTGAAAAAAGTAGGGGTTTTTTCATGATAATCTTTCTTATGTTATTTACAATTATTGTTATCATCATTATTTTCATCCTTAAATTATTATTATTATCATTATTATCTTTTATTTTTGGTGGCCTAGTGGTCAGGCCCTAGGACTTGCGACTGTAAGGTCCAGGGTTCGAATCCCATCAGGGGCCCGACACTGTGTCCTTGAGAAAGGCACTTTACTGACTTTACAAATTTTCTTTACTTCACCCAGGTGGGAATGGGTACCCAGCTATAGACAGCGAAAGATCTTGTCAGTTTCTTAGTGTTGGAGTGCTTTATCAGCTGCTTGCACTGTATGCTTCTCGGGAAGCTGAGAATGTTTCTGAGTGTTCTATGGTCTGCTAGGGTAATAATATAGTGTAAAACGCAAAGAGCTTGTTGTTGAGCGAGGGTATGTGCTATACAGATGCTATTTATTATCATTTTTGTTATTATTAGTATCTTTTATTGTTTTCTTTTAAGTTATTATCTTTTATTATTATTATTATTATCATCATTATTATTATGTTGATAAGAGCTTGCAAACTGAGGTTCATCATCCTCAAAAGGCGAAATAAATTCACATATTTACTCAAACAGAAACTCCAAATACACATTCCTGTGAGTGGTGATAGGATTGTGGTTACAATGAAGTCTTTAATTAGGAGGTGACAATCAATAAAATTTGCGCTTTAGATTAGTCTTCCTTTTCTTGTCAACTTTGTTGATTATGTCGGGGGATTCCGGCAACGTCCCGCTACAGGGATGGTCCTGCTGTAGCTGGTGCCACTATAGTCACATTCTACTGTTTAAAACTTTCACTAAAACAAATCTAACGATCATTCACCCAAAGGGGACTAATGGACCTCCTGCCGTCCATTTTGTTGTCCTTTAGGTTGCACTCCTTAGTTTTTCAATATTCACTGCTTTTTTTCCTTATTTTATCCTGCAAGCTGCTTCCGATTTTTGTTCTGCTCATATAATAATAATTGCATATATTTATGTATAGGGCATATCCACACTCTACAACATGTTCTATGCACTTTAGGACTACATCTTATAACTACAAAGGGCATTGTAGTTTTTTATATGCAGTTACTGTATGTATTTTTTACTTTTGTTTTCCATAAAGGTTTGTCATGCTGTAGCTGAAAGTTTCTGCCAGGATGATGTCATATCTGCTGATGCATTCCTGTCCACCTGGACCCTGGAGGAATGGTGGCAGGTTCGAAGTGTTTTGACGGACATTATGAGATCGGCTGTTGGGAAAGGATGGTCAAAAGAGAAGGTGAGACAAGTTCTTTCAGTTTATTGTCTAGCAACAAGGCATAAAAGTTACTCTTTTATGAAAATGTGAGTTTAAGTGTGGGGTGGGGGGGGGGGGGGGGGGTCCGAGAGGATTGTTGTCTGACTGCAGTAGTCTTATTGGCCCTTAATTCATCAAAAATTTAACGTCACAAAATGTTTTTGTTACCATGTCCCTAAATTCCTATCATTAGCCTATGTTTTTCTTAAGTCAACCCTTAGTCACTGCGAGAAGTTATTGAAATAAACACCAAAATCATTTCTATTTTTTATTGTCTTTCTTTGCGTTCTATTTTTTATTGTCTTTCTTTGCCTTTCTGCCTGTGGAACTGTAACATGGGTGTAAGTATATAGAGAGTTTAAATGAATTCCAGGTTACAATAGTGCTATCAAAAATTCTCAGCGCAACTCATCCTCAAATATCTCTTTAAAAAGTGAATCAATGTCGCCCATACTCTGCACATCAGTTTGTATCAATTTTTCTTAACTTAATCACATTTTTCCACGACAACTGAGGCTCGATTAAAAAACTTTTCTTCATAAATTTATGTAAAATACTGTAAATCTTTAGCACTCGGAAAATAGGATTATTCACAGCACTTCTCGCACTCATTTTGCATGTGGCCTACGTCACAGCTCTCCAATCAATGACACTTTTTAGTGGAAAAACTTCTTGCAAGTAATTAATTTTATAGTGAACACATTTTTTGCACTAAACCTTCCCTAAACATACATTCTATAAGCATAATGTTGCCATTAGTAAAAAATGACAGATTTGCTTTTGAAAGCAATATATTCCCCGAGCTGTAAACTTTTAAAATCTGTAGAAACCATCGATTGGAATTTTTCATTAGCATTTATTAAGTAATTTTCTAGAATACAGTGTGCAGGAGTTTTTAGAAATATTCACCTGTTAAGACGAATTGATATAAGTCATGCAAAAATTTGAGAATCTATGTTTTGTATTAAGGAGATATTTGACAATAAGTTGCACCATGCATTTTTGACTTCATTATAAACTTCTTTTTACAAACAGGGGAGAAAGACCTGTGCAGGGCGTTGCAAATATTTCTTTTTTCTGTTAAGGACTATTTTCACATTTTCATAGATTAAATGCTTGTAAAAAAAAAAGTTTTACAGAAATTGTGGAGAATTATCATACCTTTAGTCGTCCAGTACAAAGGCAATGATATAGAATATTTAAATCTTACTTGAACAAAATATTTTTTATTTCTTTTGCATATTTCTTAAAGACGTTTGAGTATGGTGAGAAATTTAAAGCATATAATGAATTTGACCTCCACCTTTTCAGATTTCCGAGGAATTAGGTTCCTTGGATGAACCGTATAAAAAAGTCCTTATTGATGTGATCAATGTACATGAGGCCAGCCTGCGGAAAAAACTACTGCTAGACACCACTGCAGTTTCGCATGCTGTGTTATCTGATTTTGATTGGAAGCTGCAGGTAATTGTTGCTTCGTCTATTTATTTTAGTAACCCGCTGCATTTCAGATAGAGTAGAACTATTATTGGGTTTTTTAAACTTATACTTCATGATGATGGCTGGTTGTGCATACCTAGCTCTATCTAAAGGGAACCTTTTAGGTGCTGTGGGTATAGCTTCAGAATCACCATGTACTGAAAACATCATTCTGTGCACTGTCTGTCCTCTCAAATTTCAGGGTTTTGTACCCTGAAAGAGTTAACAGTTTTTTAACTTGTTCCCAAGAAGGCCAAATGTTTATGTTTTGCTTTACTCTCTGTCAATTTCCACATGCATTCGTCACTACCCATGGCAGAATTCAGGTGAATGAGAGTACATGAGACGGAAGTTATTGGATTTTAGTTAGCTAACAATCTCATATTGCTTGGACTTCAGCTTCAGGAATGTTGTTGTTGTCAAAAGGAAAATATGTATATTTATTTGACTCTGCTTAACATGATGAGTTGCTGGGCTATGTTCTGGAAATGGCTGAACAGGACTTTAGTTTTATGAATATATTATTACTAGCAGAATACATATATTTTGATTTGACCCATTATGTTCACACCCTAAGTGTCATTTTCTTTTGTACATGCATGGTCATTTTGTTAGTGAGATGTAGTCTAAATTGCATTGAAAGTAAATTTTTAGTAAATTGTTCTGAACTATTGGAGAATATGACTTTGAACTATTGGAGAATATGACTTCATTTGTTTTTAATGACAAAGTGCATTAATCATACGATGATATTACTTTTTTTAAGAAGGAACATTGATAGTACTCAGAAACGATTATGTTTTTCATGGCAGCATGTTGACTGTTTTTTGTTGACTGTTTTTTGTTGCTGTTGTTTTGTGTGTTTTTTTGGGGGGGGGTTCAATTTTGCAAGTTTTCATCTTTTTGTTTGTGTTTTGATAACCAGTTGGCAATGTCCAGTGACAAACTAGCTCAACTCCAAGAACTTCTGGTGCAACTGGATCTGGATGTCAGGGAGGCCGGTGGGGACCGGAAACGGGTCATACTGGAGATGGATAAATCAGAATTAGGTCGCCTTATCTCTTCTCTGGAGGCCTGTGGTAAAGTAAGTAATCTAGACCCTCGTGCTGAAAATGGTTGGATTTATGCAGTTTTGGGGGGTTTTTTTAAGTAAAGTTTGTTACCCCATTCAGAATTGCTTGACCTAGTGTAAAACATCTAGAGTCGTTCTGGGGTGCAAATTTGTCTTGCAGGAACAGAAAACAACACTCTGTGGTCGTCATTATATGCTAAGACCAGGGATAATACATTTCACTTTTGAATTCCCTCAACTCGAATTCTGCACATGTGCTGAAGGCTCAAAGATACATAGAGCCTAAGTCTTTGCCTAAGAACAACAACCCTGTAACCCACCCTGTCTCAAAAAAACACTTTTGTGCTTTTTTCTACCAAGTGTAACATTTCAGTTTTCGTGTCAAATTTTTAGACATGTAGCTCAATAAACATCTGTGCAACATTCAGACTTTTATTTGTATTATTAAATGAATAAACAAAGTTTTTTCCTTCTCCTGTAAAATATTGTTTTTGTGGGTTACAGGGTTGGTGTACTCGAGCGACGAAGTGTTGTATTGTGTGATTTGGTTTTTATCGACCCTTTTGTATTTTATTCTTTACATTTTTTGGATTGCTGATGTCTGTGGTGTAGTCGTCTGGCACTACTTCATGGCAAACATTTGAAAAATTTATATTTAGTATCTCTGTCTTTCTAATGGGACTTTGTATCCCTGTCAGCCTGGGTTGGCCCTGACAGACCATGTAAAAGCAGCCAACTTTCTAAATGATCGTAATTGTGTCGATGGTGCATAAAATGTGTATAACTATTATAATTGTGAAATTTTTTATTTTGTCGGTTTTAACTCTTTTTTTTTACTACAGGGTAAAAGAAGGGTTAATAATATTGGCTCTCAAAAAGTTGTTCACTTTCAGTCGGATGGGCCCAAAGTAGTACAAATGGAACATTTTGTAACAATAGCATTTCAAACAGGAGGTGGTGCACAGGGAAGATGACATGAAGGCTTTGAAGTATTATTCTGATTTAGTTCTAGAAGTTTGCCCTATGACAATATGAGCTGTAATAAATGATGATGAAATTAAAGGATTGATTGACTTAAAAATAATAATAATAATAAATAGCGTTTGTATAGCACATATCCCCGCTCAACAGCAGGCTCTATGCGCTTTACACTATATTATTACCCCAGTAGACCACAGAACACTCCAAAACATTCTCAGCTTCCCGGGAAGCATACTATGCAAGCAGCTGATTAAGCGCTCTAACACTAACAAACTGACAAGATCTTTCGCTGTCTATAGCGGGTACCCATTCCCACCTGAGTGAAGTGAGGAAAATATGTGTAAAGTGCCTTTCCCAAGGACACAACGTCGGGCCCTTGATGGGATTCGAACCCGCGACCTTACGGTTGCGAGTTCGAGAGCCTAACCACTAGGCCACTGATGCCACTTAAGGATTAGATCTTGAGAAAAATATTATTGCCAAAGGAAAATAAATGTTTATTTCTAAAAATCAACAAAATGTTAGCAATTTAAACCTTTCGCATTTCTCACTTTATTATTGTGTGTATCAGTATCTGGTGTCAGACCATCACTGTTGTAAAAAAAAGAAAACAACAAAAAAGCTCAATTCCATTTGAACCTGCTTTTGAGGATAAGCGAAAAAAATTTGAAGCTTCAGTCGAATCCGCTCTAACAGCCATTTCTTCGAGACAATCACCTGTACAAACCACAACGTCCCCCTTCCCCCTTCCCCCTTGCATTTTTTGATATTATAAATACTCTGTCCAAAACGTCCACTTGTGTAAGACAGCTGTCTTGGACAATTTCATTTTTTTTTGTGCCACCAAAGATAACTTAATTTGTTGCTCCAGCAAAGATATGTGTTGGTCATATATGTATTTTTATGTATATTTCCCCAGTCTGTGCAGCAGATGACAACGTCTTGATGTTGTGACTGTCTGAGAGACGACCGACGTGCAATGTGAGGAAAGCAAGGGACTCAGTAGAGATATGTGATGGATGAAAAAATATGGCAGGACTGGTGAACGTGCATGCTGTTCAAAGGACAGTGTTTTTAGGGGAGTTTTTTTGTGAGCATGTAATTTTTTTCCTAATCTTACACGTTTTGGGTAAATTGGGAAAAGTTCAAGATATGAAAAGGAGTGTTTGTGAAGCATTCATCTCATGGATTTAAAAAAAACAAAAAACTAGGCACTCAATCCCCCAACTCCCCATTACAAATATTTTACAGTGATTTATTTATCCTAGAAGTACAGCTTGTTCTAGAATTTGTTTATCATAGATTTTTCTTAATCCAGACTTTTGTGTCTCTCTTTCATGATTTTGAGATGATGCACTGGAGGGAGGGGGGGTGGTGGGGGGCTCTCATGACAAATGATTAATTAATTGGGAGGATGACTGCAGTGCAATAGTGTGTAAAAGAAGGAGTCTATCCAGTCACTGAGAAACATATCTGAGAGCTGGTTAAAAAAAAGTATTTATTATTGAGAGAAAACTGGTCCGATTTCTGAAAGAAAAAAAAAAGTAAGCAAGTATAAGGATCTGTGTATGTGTGTACTTACATGTCTCTCTATAGGTAACCTCGGTGCCATGTGGGTTTTATGAGAAATTTGGGGGGGGGGGCTCCTTCTGAACTGAAGTATGATGCTAAGCATTCATATTTTGTTAAACTGTTAATTCTTCTACAGGAGAATAAATGAAGTATTATCCATTATTGTCTTTTCTTATCTGATCTTATCTATTGCAGACCATTCACTTTTTTGTATCTCATTTATCAAGAATAGATATTAAATGTTTCAGACTCAAAGAAATATTATGAGCAGAACAATTTTTTTGGTGTTTCGCAGGTCCCAAAAATTTGTTTTTCAATTTCTCACCTGTACTTTCGCTCAGATTAAACAAAATGATTGAATGACAGAAATTGAAAGTTATTTCTGAACAAAAGGGAGTAAATCATGTTGTTGAAGAGAGATTTGGAAACTTGTACATCGAGGGTGCTCTGGATAAATTTACCCGAGATGGATAGATTTCAACAAATCAATAGATACTTTTGTTGACTTAAAAATATTATTGGGGTCCCAGTATGGGTAGTCATCAGCTTCAAACAAGCAGCTTAATAGCATCATCATTATACTTTATATGTGTTAAGACATGGTTGAACCAGGGGCTCATCAATTTTTGGTCTTATAGAGTTATTATATCAGAATATTTGCAATTGAAGTAGATGGGGTCACCTGTTGTAAGAGGCAAAATTAGAGAGAAAATTAGCTGCCAAAATTTGGTGACATTCAAAGGTTGAGTGTGCTTGGAAACTGGAAATTAACCTTTTCTGTGCCTTTAATCAACATTATTCAGTAAAATCCTCAAAGAAATGTGTTTTTAACTAGATCTTAAAGGTGTAGAGTCATAAAACAAAAATTCAATAAAAATAACCAAACGGACAGAAAAATGCCAGTTTCTTCGATATCATTATGTTGACGAGCGCCTGATTTCACCACGATGCCTCACTAAAATATAGTTTAAAGAAATAGCAGCCAAAATGAGCAGTTGAACAAAATGTAAAGGAGGGTGTCTTTGTTATTTGCTTATTATGAATACATTACCTTTTTCCGGTTGTGGTACTTGTAAGGAAGTTTGAACTCAGAGCTGCTTCTCTGAATGGGCCAAGTTCCAGACCTAATGAAAGAGAGTGATAAGCCCCATTGTGTTTGTATAAAGACACTGGTGTTCATTTTTAGATAGTACATGTATATATAAGTTTGCTGACTATGAATATGCTTCGCTGAGATTCCAGTTTGTTTTGGCACTGAATAAAAGGTGTGACTGTAATTAAAGGAAAACTATTTTTTGAGAGATTGTGTAAGAAAACCTGTGCGGGCATTGTTTGTGTTCCTACCTATTGGGAATTTTTTTCTTCCTGGTCGGTGAGTGTATGGTAGGTGCTCTGGTGTAATTTGCTCCTTTTTTCCTGTCATACATCTGTCAACCTTATTTCTCCTACTTTTCCTGTAATTGTTACTCTCGAGTAACACCTTTAATCTTCAGCACCTATATATGACCTATTTGTATTTCAAGTGCTGTAAAACTCTTACAAAAACTTAATTTCCTGGTTGTAAGTAAAATGGCCTTTTTAGAAAAGGAGTTTGTGGTACATTTTACTCCGTTAACATAGCATTCCTCAGACTCTATTTGGTGCTTTTATTGATGATGATGATGTTGTTGTTATGCTTGTAATCAACCAGCATTGAATAAAGATTTTTTTTTCTTCTAATTATCTGTATTGTGAAGTACATTGTGTTATTTATGACACAACTGATGTATCCTTGCTTTGGCACACGGACATCTGAAGATTTGGCATCATATTTGACTTATACATATTACGTATGCATATTAACAGTTTCGCGACAAAACATGACATATCCATTTGTCTAGTATTGAGAAAAAGGAAGATACCTGTTTTTTACCCACTTACTGAATAATCTTTAACAAATATGTTTAGTTGATTTTGAAGCATGATGAAATCTGTGTTGGATTCTTATCCTTCAAATTAATGAGATCTCCACATAGTCTACTAAAACAGCCTTATGCGCTGCTCAGTGGAAAGCTCCGTATCCCGGACTCTAACGTGGAGATCATCAGGAGAGAATGCCTCATATCCACAATACAATAATATTAAGTAAGGGAAAGGACCGCCAACACACTGTTGTCGACCACAAGTGAAGTCACATGATTAGAGGAAACGACTTGATTGGAGTGCAGAGGAAATGTAGCTGTTAGTTCAAACAATTTCTACCACTTTTTTCGGGTTCCGTAAAAAAGCATCACTTTCTGCAATCTTTAAAATTAAAAACAAAAATCGTGTGAAGTTAAAAAAGGTGTTCACTCTGGATTGTGCCTCACTTTTAGAGAAACGACAGTACTAGTTTCAGCAGAAGTTCGGAAATGGCATTTGTCATGTTTTGTTGTCAAACTGTTCATATAGAACTATATGGTAGATTCCACTTACCTTACAGAAATAATTATGGTTAAAATCGCCCTTCCCAGCGTGGCTCTTTGAGCCGTTATACAATGTTCACAACTCTAGGAAAACAGAGTATCTACTTGTAACATAATTTACAGAGATACAACCTAGTGCTTCCTGATTCCGCTCTCCGAACTGTCTCTCACTGTCCTTTGTCTTTCCCACTCATACACATCGCTTTTTCTTCAGCCTTATATATTTATATACTATTTAAAATGTATGTTACATTTGAAACAGACAACAACAAAAAGTGTGATGCCCTAACATTTTATTTGATGGTAGGATTTGGCTATCTGTAGATGATCCTGCATTAATACATGTAATTTGAGTAACAATGTCTTATCATCAATTAAGTTTTCATGGTATCAAACAGTATCGAGTATCCATTTTAAAATACAAAACCAAGTGCAGAAACTTTCCACAAAGATAGTGTGGCAACATAAAGAAGTCAGCTGTTTCTAGGAGACTTTATTTACCTAAGATAATAATACACATATCCACGCTCTACAACATGCTCTATGTGCTTAACTCTTTACAACCATTTTTACTTTTATCATTTATAAGACCGTAGTACCCCTCAAATGAATAGAAAGAAAAGTTTCAGCTGCAATCAGGATGAAACCTAAGTATGCAGAAGGTACATTCATTATTTTGACATCATAGTAAGAAAACTTCTCTATGTTCATTTGCTAACCGAGCAAGGATTACATAATTTGTTAGTTGATGATGATTTGAAATAATTACATCTGTATAGCTCCTTTTTAGAAGGTGTTAAAGCTCAAATTGTTCACATGATTTTTCAGATATTGTCAAAGACTACACCCCTCCCCCCTCAACCCACCACTAGTTGCTGTCTCACATACCTCTACCCCAAAACCCACTCGCCATACAAAATCGTCACGTTGTGGGTCGAGAATGTTGGTGGGAATGTCAGTTTGAACCATACTTCTAACATCAAACAAAAAAGAATGATGAACTTAAAAGCCTATAAATTGATATTCGTGTAACGCAGGAAGGCCCATACCCTCCTAAACCAGCTCTATTACTCAGAAATTGGGCTATAATGTGAAAGGGTTAAATTTTAGCACCAAGAAAAAATGCCATTGTGCAGTCAGTTACACAATCATGTAGAGTCTATTCACTTTAGTAACAAGGGAGGTAACCAAACATGATTTCTACGGACGAAAGCGCAATGATAATTATTGTCCTTGAATGGCGGAGGAAAATCATAGTTACCGCTATTTGTTTTGTGCAAAAACTAGTTCGTTGTTCTTTTAAGTCATAAACTGACTGTAGGCCTGCACGTTTCCGGTTCTGTCTAAATGAAGAGTAAATCCTCTCTGCTTTGGTGGTGACTGAAGATGAATTCGCTCTATCTATAGATGTAGTGTTGTATTCCCAAAATGATGTCGATTGCGCAAATCCCTTTCGTCAATAAATGGGAAACGTAGGCTGCTACTGCTGTTGATGCTAGCCTCACCTCAACAGCACCGCTATCCCCCAACCACCCACCCCGCCCTCTGTCATCCACTCCGCCCTGCCTCTTTTCTGTCTCCACCCTTTTCCTTTTTCTGCTTCTTCCCCTCCTCCTCCCCCTGAAACACCTTAATTAAATGGCCCCTGCATTGCACTTTGTGTTCTTCACAAAAGTTGGACTATATATAT